GGGTCTTTGCATGGATTGAGCCATGATAGCCGGGCTGAAAAGATAAACAAGCCAAGGCAGAAACAGTTTAAGGGAACAAAAAAGCAAAAAGGAGGATTCCCGGTACAGCCTGCAGGCTAGGGGAAGGAAAGAGAAGAAAACTCTTGCTTCAAGGTAGCAAAAAACCCAGTTCAACAAGAGGAACAAGGCAGGGTCCCTGGAGCACACTGGAGAGCGAGTGAACGGAGCGGTCCCAGGCTGCGAGCCCGCCCCGGCTCCTCTTGAAGATACCCCCAAAATTCTGGGCATAAAGCAGACAGGTACAGAAAATATCATCATAAAGCACCCTAAGAGAGTTCCCCTTTTTAATCTGAACCTATGAGACTCACATTCCCTGGCCCACGCCACCCGGAGAACACTGGAGAGAGAGATTGAATGAAGCGATCCCAGGCTGCGAGCCCGCCCCGGCTCCTCTTGAAGATACCCCCAGAATTCTGGGCATGAAGCAGATGAGTGTGTTAAAAACGAGGCCAGACTCCCGGTACTAAAGTGATTTCATAATTTATTATAATGAAATAAAGGCCTGAAGCAAGGGAGCCTGGGCCGGGCAGGAGCAATCCCGCCGAGGATGCCGCAGCGCCGGCGCTGGGGCTGCTTCAGCAGCGATGTCCCGATGGTGGCCTCGATGGTGTCCCTGGTGGTGTCCCCAGTGATATCCCCGGTGATGTCCCCAGTGATGTCCCTGAGCTTCCAGGTGGAGTGGCACGGATTCACTGGGTCAAAATCCCCTTTTATCCTGTTTTTTGTCCCTTTGGATTGGTTTCCTTTTGGATCCTTCACCTCCATGAAGGTTAAGGCGCTCCATTGGCCATCACAGTTCTGTGCAGGCCGGCTCGTTTGGCTGGGGGTGCTGCACTTCACTGAGGTGTGATACCCTACAGTGAGTGCTGTATTTCTTATAACGACCCTTTTACCATAACCAAACTAAAAGTACATGCTTAACAATCTATCAGCTATTTTACAACAGTTTCTAACCTATTTCTAACAGAGTACATAAAGTATCATCATAAAGTCACCCCAAGACAGTTCCCCTTTCGGATCTGAGCCTGTGGGACTCTCATTCCCCGGAGTGCCACCCGGAGCACACTGGAGAGAGACTGAACGGAGCCATCCCAGGCTGCCACCCTGCCTGGCTCCTCCTAAAGACACCCCCGACATTCTGGGCATAAAGCAGACCAGTAAATAAAATATCATCATAAAATCACCCCAAGACAATTCCCCTTTCTGAATCTTGTCCCCTTTTCTGGTGGAAAGATGGAGAAGAAAATATTTTGGTCATTTGAAGCAGGGTTTGGTGGTGTGCATTCCTGGGATGCTTTTCTTGGTTGTGGGAACAGACAGAATCATTCATCCCAGTATGGAAAGACTGCAGGAGGAATCTAGCAGAGATCTAGAAAATGCTTGTTGTCTGTCATATCTTGTAAAAGAAATAAAAACAAAATAAGCAGAGCTTATTTTGTACCCAGAGGGGCAGATTGGGTTTTCTTTACAGTGTATCTGGAGAAAGTCACATTTCCATGAGATTTTGCAGGAAGGTAAATGTACAGGTTGTGCAGGTAATATGGGGAGTAGGGATGATAAATAACACTGAGAATAGGAGCAGATGGGGTTTTCTTTACAGTGTACATCTGGAGAAAGTCATATTTCCATGAGGTTTTGCAGGAAGGCAAAGCGTGCAGCTTGTACAGGTAGTATGGGGTGGAATACAGGAATGATAAATCACACAGAGAATAGAAATTTTCTGTTCCCCTGAAGTTTCTGGATAGAGCTTAAGGACTATTCTGGCTGATTTCAGTACCAGGGAAGAGGAATGGCTCATGTGTTTCTTACACCACATATCTGCCTGTGTTCATCCTCTGCTGCTGGAAGCAGACTTTTTGGAAGAACTGGAAACAGGTTTTTCAGAAGGGCTATGCTAATAGAGCCCATTGGGAAGCTGAGGGTTCTGTATAGGAGCTCGGAGCATGTTGTTATCTCTAATGGAGCAGGGCAGTGCCCTGTGGAGATGCTGGCCTGTGTCCCAGGCCAGGGATATTTCTGCAGCTAAAAAGCTGCATCACTTGGCCAGGAGCTAATGTGGGATAGGATGGGTCAGGCAGCATTGCTCTGGGTGTGAGGATGACCTAATGGTCATTTGGAAGAGCTCAGTGTTCAGAGCTTCCTAAAAATCTGCTCATGTATGTTTGTGTTGAAGTGGGGGGAGAAACTGGTGGCAGAGAAGGAGTATCTGTCCCTAGCAGCACGCACAGACTTCTTTAAAAGCACCCAGACATTTATTTTTATCTGTGCAGTACTGACAAACTGCAGTTATAGTAAAATTTACTCCACTTCGTGCTTATTTCCCTGTGTGGTGGCGAATGTGCAGGGCTGTGCTGAGGAGCTGTCCCTGGCTGTGGCCAGCCTGCAGCTTGTGACAGTGGCACCTCAGATGGAGCAGTCTGCCCGTCAGAGCCTCCCCACAAGCTGGCATGCAGTGGGCACAGCAGGCAGGGCATCTGCTCTGACTCCCAGTGACATTTGAGAGGTTTTTGAGACTGTGACCCCAGTGAGTGTGGCCATGAACTGGCTGTATTTCAGGATAAAAGCATCTGTCTGTTCCAAGGGGAGCATCATTAGCAGCCTGTGGAGTTCATTTGGTTTTAGCATCAGTGTGTTGAAAGCAAATGTGTTTGTGTAAAGATTCCTGGCAGAAATATTTTTGTGGTGGGAATGCACTTCCTGTTGTTTCTGTCCCCAGTGTAAAAATATCCAGTTGTCCTGAGAAAAAACAGAATATCACAATATCCTGTGATGGGAGTGGACAGCTGATCTTTAGGGATAATGAGATGTGGAGAGAGGATGAACTGAAGTTCCTGTTTCCTCAAAGATGAGCAGCAAAATAGAGGAGCACACTAATTCACTGTTCCCCAAAGTTTATATTGTTCTGGCTGCAAAGTTAAGGATCCAGAGAAGCTCTCTAGCAGAATATTGAAAAACTCTAAAATCCTTTTATTTTTCTGGCACCTTTTCCTACTGAAATTCTTCTCTACTGCTGTTTTTTCCTGCCTTGTGTCTTTTTATTTTCTTATCCACATTCCTGGTTAATTCAGCCAGCTGTGTGGAAGCACCAGTAGCCCTGGTAGCTTAATCCTGAGTACACCATCCAACCTTGTAACCAAAATGTAGGGCCAAACAATGAGTAAATTTAGGAGTTGTGAAGAGGGCAAACTTTCAGGCTGGAGGTGATGGATGGAGATCTCCAGGTGGAGCACATCACCTGCCAGCAGAAGAGTTAGAAATCAGCTTTGGCCGTAAAATCAAAGCCAGCCCTGGGCAAGATGTGTGCTGTGAGATGGAGTGGGTGGGAGATGCCACATCTGATGGCCTGACAGAAAACAGGAGCCTGGCTGATCCATGTTTCTCACCTCCACATTCAGTTCCTTGTCTCCCTGTTTTATGCTGAGCAGAGCTGGAAGCTGCAGCCTCCTGTCCAGCTCTGACAGCTGCTCCTCCCAGCTCTGCTGCAGAAAGGCTGGTTTTTTTCTCTTCCCAAGAAGAGTTTCTTGCTCTTGTCTGTTATTCCTGCTGTGGGTGATGTGATTGGAGCATCCAGTGCTGAGCATCTGCAGGTGTGTGAGTCCAGCCCAGGTACTGAGCACCTTTCTGGACACATGGGGAAAAGGCCTTGATCCCTCAGGTTCTTGCTCAGGCTCCCTCCCCAGGATGTCCCTGCTGATCCCTCCTTTCTCTGGCTCTTTAAGCTGATGTAGGATGACTGACTCTTACTGCACGTGGGTGTTTCAGATATTTGTGAGCCCTCAGGAACACGGCTTTGGAATTCTCCTTGTGGTTTTCCCTCCTCTGTGTCTGCCTGCAGCTTTTCCTGGAGCCCTGCCAGCCCTCTGCTCGCTCTGACCCAGCCTCTCTTCAAGTCCTTACTCATGCCTTAATCATTTCCCATCCCATTATTGCAATTCCTCCTTGCAGCATCTGTAAATCTTTGATTCTCAGGGGTGCTGCCTCTTTCCTTTGCCCAGGAAGCAGTGTCCCTGGTTTCTGGCTGCTCCTTGGATTGCTCTCCTTGCTGTTAGGTTGGCATTGGCCCTGGTTTACTCTGCTGCCACCTTTTTTCCTCCACATGCTCGCCTGCTGACTCCCAGCCTCAAGATTCCTTTTGGCTGATAGGCTCAATTTTTAAATGATTTTTCTTTATCCATTAGGAATGTTACTGCTTTTTTTTAAACTTAGTAATTTCCTTTATTTTTCTTTTCTTGTCATAAAATGTGCTTGTTGATGCAACATCCTTGCAAGGAATTTGGAGTTTTTATTCCATTTGCCTACTGGGAAGGGAATGACATAAGGAGGGGTTGTGACTTCACTAATGAGTAGTTGGTAGAGTTATGCTTAAGTGTCAGGAAATTTGGGAGTTTATTTCAAATTTTCTTGTAAATCCATTTGACCATAGGGCCAAATGCCCTTTTTACTGTGATAGGATTTTGGATTTGTCTTTAAGGAAAGGAGCTGAAAACCCCATCTCAGACACTGGCTTCATCCTTCCTTCCCCTGCCAGTTTGGAGGCTGGTGGGGCTGTGCAAGAAGGGTGGTGCCTTTTGTCAGGGCTCTGACAGCACAGCTGAGGCTTGGCAGATGCTGAGCTGAGGCTTTAGGATTTCAAACCAGTCAAAACCATTTCAGTTACTCAGATCCCAAACTGTCTTTAGATTCTTGTTCTGTATTTAAATTCCTGTTGAATGCCTCCGGGCGGTTTCAGCTTTGGCCCAGGACTTTGAGATTGACAAAAAAAAATGTTACATGAAGATGGGAGATGAGGGAAATGACCACCCTGGTTTTATAGGAGAAGAAATGAAAGGTTCTGACTCCTGTAGGGCTGTGAGGGCAGAGCTGGGCACTGCTTTTTGGAAGCCTGGTCCATGCTCTCCTGCTCATTCTCGATCTGATTCCTTTGTGCTCTTCTCCCCCAGGTGTGTGACCATGGAAGAAGAGGTGCACCATCAAGAAGCCTGAGCAGTGACACTGGGACAGCTCTGCAGACACTGGCAGCAGCAGCCTGAGATACAGGAGAGCAATCATGCTGAAACCAAGTGGACTTAAAATCCCGGGCAGGGCTGGGAAGCACTCCAGCCCCGTGGGACGGGCAGCAGGGACCAGCACAGCCGCTGCCACCACTGGCTCCAAAGAAGGTGAGGGCTCCATGCAGGGCCACCAGCCGCCCCAGGGCACTGCCTGGCCTGGGGGCCGTGGGCTATTAGGGTTAGGGTGCTGTGGGATGTGAAATTCCCCATCTCTGTGTGGGCTGAGGGATCAAAGCAAGCGTAGCAGGGTGGATAAATGGGCTCCCTCTCCCAGGTAATGCACAGAACTGGCAAGTTGTGCAGTGGCTGGGAGGCAGATGGCTCCCCTGATGTTCAGGGCTGACAGGGGTGCCTGTACAGACACTGGCATGGGAAGGGCTGGTAATGGGGCACATGGGAACCTCCCCAGGACCTTAAACACTGCCTGAAGCCACTGCTATTGGCCTGTGAGGGTGTAGGAGTAATAACTGAGCACTTCAGGTGATTTCATGTCAAATGTGCTGTTTATGTCAAAGCAGTGCCTTTGTTTAAACAGAAACACTTGAAGCCCTAGGATCTGAATAATGACTTACCTTCACATACCTACACATCTTGCTGATCTATATCCAGTGTATACATAAGCTGTGCAGACTGCCATTGTCAGCATAATTAACACTTCAAAAGCAGTTGAGGGTGTGTTTTGCTTAGGATTCATTTTTCTGGCTTATTGGCTGGTGGGTTTTTAAAAAATTATATATAATTTAGTAAATATTTGAGGTGGAAGTTTTGTATGTCATGTTTTTCATTTCACTTTGTTAAAAAAAGGTTTTGTTCTTGCTTCTGGGGAACACATCAGGATGATGGATATCCTGTCAAAGCTTGTACTTTCACTATGTTACACTTTCATTTGAGAAGGTCACTGGTTGCTTCTTTAGATCTGTCACTCTCTTGTCCTTATAATTCAAGCCACTTCCTACATGCCTGGTTACTTGGTTGTGTGTTTCAGTCTCCAAAATATAGAACATTTAGCAGAATGAGGAAAGCCTTTTACCTTTCAGACAGCATTTTTACTCAAGGGGATAATATTGGTCAAAATTTCCTTTAGCATGCTTAGACAAATTAGTCTGGGATAATAAAGCTGCAAAATGAGGGTCACCAGGCAATGCTGCCCCTTGTCAGAGTAATGCAGAAATGTTAATTATTTAATCAAAACAAAATGTACCCATCTATGACTTCCTGGGCACACTGGGATGGTGATGCAGGCACAGCCTCTGCACAGGATGCTCACACAGGCTCTTCTTGCTGCTAAGCCTCTGACTCTGCTCCCTTATTGCACATCAGGGGCTGTGCTGTGCTCACGGATTCCTGCAGCTGAGCTCTCTCTTCTTCCAGTGATCAACATATATGTATGTATATGTATGTATAACCTCTGCCACTGGAAATTCTTACTGGATTCCTGCAGCTGAGCTCTGTCTTCTTCCAATGACCAACAGTGTATGTATAACCTCTGCCACTGGAAATTCTTACCCCAAACAGTTTTGTAAAAGCCACAGCTCTAACTTGGCTTTTTGCACACCTGCAAGGTCTTGTTTGCGGGGCCAGTCACGGGCAGAGTTCCAGGTCCTTTGGAGGGGCCAGTCACTGCTTGGGGTCACGGGCAGAGTTCCAGGTCCTTTGGTGTGACACAGCCCTGCAGGGATTGCAGAGGAGCTGCTCTTCCCCTGCTGAGGGCTTGGCCCTGTGTGTGGATATTAACGAATGTTCGGATTGCAGTTTTGTGTGAATGGGTTTTAAAGTTAGAAAACCTGATTTCTTTATTTGGTGCCCAAAGATACTGAAGTATCTTTTTATTAGTTTGCTAGAGGAAAGCATAAATTGACAAAGGAAAAGCTTGATAGGTTTGGCTGTGTATTTTGAAGTTTTTCTTCTGACACTGTGTTTCTGAATTTCCCCCTTGTTTCTCCATGCTCTCAGCTGTGATTGAGGAATGAACCTGAACTCCAGTGTGTGCCTCTCTAACTCCCTGTTGTGACTCTCTCAAGGTGCTTTGGTCTGGATTTACAATTGCAGCGTGTCGTTCAGTTGATTTTAATCACATGAAACACATCAAAATGAGGCAAAAGATCTGAGGGCTCTCTTGCCCCCAGAGGCTTTGCAGTGGCATCTCAGCAGGCACAGTTGGTGTGTGTCTTGTGCTATGAAAGGGTCAGGCAGTGGCAGGGTCAAGGCAACCTCTGGCTGAATGCAGCTCCTGTTTGCTGGAGTTCTTTGTGCCTTGTTCAGCTCCAGCCATCTGTCACCAAGGGATGCGCAGCCAAGTACCCCGTGTGGCTCCAAATGGAGTCTGACCTTTGTTTCAGGAGTTCTGAGGTTTATTCCTGGAAAAAAGTGGGCATGGAGAAGGGGAGAAGTCTTGTGATGGTGGGTTGGTGCTGTGTGACAGATTACTGCTGCTCCTCTGCCCGTCAGGATAGTGCAGGAGGCTTTTGGAAATTGTGGAGCCACTCCTGAGCCACTCCTGAGCCATTCCTGAGCCATTCCCACCTGGAAGGTGAGAACAGAGCACGGTGGGGTTGGTTGAACAGCGTGGGCTGGCTGTGTAGCAGTGGTTCGGCTGTACTGTTTTCTCTGTAGTGGCCCCTTCTCACTCAGTGTGTGCTCAGGAGCTCTGTCCCTGCATGGCTGCACTGCTCTTCCTCCTGCAGATCTCCCCAGAAGTCTGGCCAGCTGCCTCTTGCTGCTCTCCTTTCCAAAGGTAACCCGTGAGCAAAGTGTGCCTCCCCAAATCTGCCCTTCTCTGAGAGCAGCAGCATCTCTGCTGGCTGTGGGGCCCAGCCACAGCACAGTCAGGGATTCAGCCTTTGGTAGGGGAAAACTACAAGAGAAAATACTCTTTTTATGTTAAAGTGGTTTAAATCTATTCCAGAGCCAAGTGTCCACATCACTGAAACCTTAACCATAGCAGGCAGTGATGTAATTTTGGGGATGCCTGCAGCCAAAGAATCTGGTGGTAGATGGCTGTGGAAGCTGGATCTCATTACATTTCCTGGGATTGGTCAGATCTGGGCCATGAGGCTTTACATGAGGTCTTGAAGTTGTAAGAAGGAGTCTCTGTGTGAGGTGTTTGGGAAGCCCTGCAGAAGCCATGAGCTCCATGAGCTGCGTCTGTCACTGAAAGTGCTTCCTGGGAGGCTGACAAGGTTTTCCTGACTCCACAAAAATTCATTACATGCCCCTGAACTGCTGCCTTACTCCTTACCTCTGCACTTACCCTCCTCTTGCCAGAAAAGCCAAGGAGATGTCTGCATTTTCTGGAGCTTGATGCAAGAAAACCAGAGTGGTTTGGGTTACAAAATACAGAGATGCAACATCATCTATATGCATTTGCTACCTTGATGGAGGACAGAAACCTCAAAATCCTGAAATGTAGTTGCAGAAGAGAGCCATAAATCTAGCACAGCCCAGAATTAACCTGCAGCAGTGCCCAGTCTGTTGCCTCTGAGAAGTTCCTTGGCTCTGGGAGCTGGGGGCTGGCTCAGAAAGACCCCAGAAGGGGATTAGCTCTTTCAGATTGCCTGTTAGGAGAAGATGCCTGTTCTCCAGTTGTACCTAAGATATGTCAGAGCTGCAAATGAATTTTTAAAAGCTTGCACTTTGATCCTCTTCCCCTCCCATAAGTTTATCAATCTTGTCTGCACAAGTGGAGGTACTTCCCTTTATTCTTACCCTGGAATACACAAAGTTGCTTTGATTTCTCCTTTCTCTTTTCCCCAGTGTCCTGTTCATATTCTTTTGTAGAAACTCAAGTGTTTCTTATCTGTCTCTCATTTCTCTCTTCCTCTCCCAGGCGTGGAGATTCCTCTTCCACATTTCCATGTTCTCCTGGCAGCTCACATTTTATGTGCCAGGAAGAGGGTCAGTGCAGGTGGGAGCTGCTGTGAATGCATGTCTGTGGAATTCACAGTTCATGGCTGGAGATTTCTGCAGAGACCAAGTGGAGTCACAGTGAGCCAGCCTGTCACACCTGCTGGATCAGAGTTATTTCTCCTGAAAACGTTCAGAGTCAGCTCTGCTCAGGGGATGTGCTGTGTCCTCCCTGAACTTTCCTTGAGTGGAGAGTTGTGTCTCCTTAGCTGAGCTGGTGCTTTCACAGAGCCATTAGGAATAGGAGCTTTTGTGGGGGTGCTCTGGCTTAGGTACATTGCCTTGCTGTGGTTGTGGGCTTTTTTAAAAAATAACAGAAATTGCCATTTCCTCTGAAAGTCAGTGGGGAACTGGCAGCTGACATGGACTCCTGGAAGAAATTAGCCTTGAGTAATGTCCATGCTGGCTATCCCCCTCCCTTCTCTCCTGTAAAACTGGAACAATGGAAAAAATAAGTTCTGCTGCTTTGCAGTAACTATTTTCCTTAACCAGACTGAAAATTAATCTCTAGCTGCCTTAGGAGAGCATTTCCCACAAATGTGTTGGCTTATTTCCCATGTTTCAAGTGCAGAAAGTCACTGCTCTTGACCCCACATTCAGGAGAGCTTTCTGTGCTGAAGGTGTGGGTCATGGGTAAAGGACTCAATATAATATTTGGATTTCTTGTTACAAAGCTCATATGTCTCAGTTCCTTTCCCACCCTCCTCCTGGAAAAGCCTGCTTTTGCAAGATAGGAAGAGAATGGAAGCTGTGATGAATGGGCCCACAGAGCCCTCCCAGCTGGTGGGACAGGTGAAAGCTGCTGGGAGGAGAAGCATTCACATTTCAGAGTGGGTTTTGTCTGCTCAGAGCAGTGTTGGAGTGACGTGGTTGGGGGAGAAATTTGCCTTTCATACTTCATTTGGCTGTCAGCTGGCTGTAGTGTTTGTTTATGGTTCTTAAATCTCTTGTTCAATTTAAAAAAATCTAGCAAAAGACAGAGGACAAAAGAAATACTTGTATTTGCAGATGGGGCTGGGCAACACTGAGACTTCAGTGCTGGAGGCAAAAAAAGCCCAAACTTATTAAGTTTTTCTGTGAGACTTATGTGCATCCAGTCAGAATCTAGAGTAGACCTTGGGTTTTACAGATGGATCCTGTCTTTCTGAATGGGCAAGTGCAAGTATCTGTCACATTAATTTCATATTTAGGCATGCTAACAATAT